ACACACACACACACACACACACACACACACACACACACACACACACAGACTGACAGGCACACAGCTTCCCTACATACCACATGCTTATGTCAGAAAACAATGCATGCATCAGTGCGTTGGTTGCATCTGGCCAAGTGTGTGTCTGTACTGTTTGTACACACATGTGGATGTGGATGTGGTGGCACCGGGATTTAGCCTGGCAGATGTAAGTAATCAGTCCCCGAGCAGCGGCTCTTTATCCCTTTATCCCTGTTGGTGGAGCCATGGGTAGACCGAGCAGGTCCAGTCCATCCCCTGGTGGTGTGGAGCTGGGTGGTGCGGATGATGGGGATTGTTGAGGCACTGGGGGGGCTGTCCAACACTAAAAGGCCTGAATGCTGAGGCTGTTGGGTATAGCTGGTTGCTGCAGGATTAAAGAAGCAGTTACGAGAGGAGGAGCAGATGTCCTAATAGAGAATGCCTGGAGATCTAATGCAGGCTGCTGTGGAACCAGTTTGATCAGGCCAATGCTAGATTCCTAAGATAATGTTTCAACAATGAAGGCGTGATGGCAGGGTGCGGCAAATGCAGATGATAATACAACTTTGCTTTAAACCCAGGGCATTGCAGGTAAAAGAAGCAGGATGGATTATATCGACTGGGAGGCTTAGTGCTGGAGCAGGAGTTGGTCCTCCACCGCAGCTCTAGATGTGTGAGTGTGGGTTTTAGTGTAACCGAGGAATGATACTGTAACTCTGCAGGCTTAGGGGATCAAAGCTTTGGAGAGGACAGGCAGGACTGGAAGAGGATGGAAGGGAGACTTTGGGCAGTGAGAGCGTTCTAGGCTAAGCTACGCTAGTTCACCCGACCGGCTTTGGATGTGTGACAGGCCCTCGAGAGCAGCCACTCAGGTAAAGATCACTTCTTTTTAACTGAATAGTTAACAAGGTGCTTTGAGTAGTGGAATTCATTTTTGTGTTTTCTTCAGCTATGGAAAAACACATCAGACAATAGACACAAATGGTAACCCACCAAATGAGAGAAATCAATGAATGTGAATGGAGTCATACACACTTTTCATTCCATACAGGTTTGCTCTTCCTGTGTACTGTTAGTATAGCAGAGTAATGGTGATACTCTGTAGGGATTCTGTAGTGAAGACAGGTCTGTTAATGTTGTTAATGCTGGACTGAGTCACAAGAACTGTTTGAGGATAATGAGATAATATTGTGAAACAGGTCTGCTGCATCACAGATTGAAGGAAATTGGGTAGAAAAGAGGACGGAGAAAGTCTCAATCCTCTCATTAGGCCTTCTGGAGGCATAACAGACTTATATAATTTCACCCATTAGAGCTGTCACTTATAAAGAAAAATTAAGTTCGAACAAACGAGAACTAACATGTAAATCATTCACTATTACTGCCGGCAGTTGTGCTTTGTAAAGGCAGCAGAAGTAAGATCATTTTCCTACATTCAAGCGATTGTTTTCAATGTAATTTGTTCCGTAAAATGACAGCTCTACCACCCGAACATCTGCAGTGAGCCAACACCTTTTGTTGTCAGTTATTGAATAGGAAATTATATTTGAAGTTGAAAAGTCTCATCTAAGGCAAAAACAAAATTTGATATCCACTCTTGGAATCTTCTTTTGTGATAACTTAACAAAAGAACAAGATATCTTGTACTTTAATTAACGTGTTCTTAAGGGGATGTGCTGTCATGTTTCCTATATTCTGGCAGTCGGAGAAAAGTCAACACATGTATTTTTAAAGGCAAATCAATACAACAGCCAAGACACAGCGTCTGCAGTTGGAGATCAGATTTTGCCCATTGCACAGTTCCCCAGATACAATATCCAGATGGGTATTCAAAGTATATGATTGTCCATTCATGCAATGCTATGGGCCTCCTGAGACTATGCTAGCAGCGGCCTATGTTCAGAGATACTGCACACAGACTGCCTCTCCTCTGAGCTCTAGATGCAACATGTCACATTTGTGCTCATGCTGGCAAGCCTGAAACCACCGTACAGTACACTCGTTCACAGGAGGAAGAGCACCCCCCCCGAAGCGCATGTAAGGCGTTCTGTCATTTTGTCAGAAGAAGTTACGTTTTCAGTGTAAAGGGTTTACCACAATGGGTATTAGGAGGCTGCAAAGCATAGGTCTTCAGTCAAAACGAGCTGGTTCAGATTTGAGGAGAATTTGCTTGAGCAAAGTCTCATTTCTTTATGGTTTACGGCCTTTAAATATTTTACTGATCTCACTGATTCACGCGCTGCAACTCACCTTTGAGCTTTTGTGTAAAACCATCTGACACAGGCCAAATGAAGCAGCGCCTCTGGACATCCTGTATGTCAGGGTCTCATATTGTATGCCACATATTATCTTAATATCTGACATCCATTCAGCGCTGAGGCGGTGACCCCGGGGGTCAACAAAGATTGCCTGTCACTGCTCCTAGGAGAGGGCGAATATTCGAGGATTGTAAGGAAACGCAGCCTGTGACAGCCTGGGTACTCTCGAGGCAGAAAGTGCTGAGTGTGGCTGTATCCACTGACCCGACACAGATAGTAGGGATCAATGTGCAGCCGCCCTTCTCGTAGAACGAACAGGATCTCAGGGGAGAATCCGAGAGAGAAAGAGATGTGTAGGGCTATGAGATGGAGATCCCGAAATAGGATTATATCATCTTCTGTGC